ATGTTCATATATGCAAAGACAAAGACTGCAAACTTTTACCTAATGACACAGAACACATTTTCAAAAACATATCAACTTATTATTTTGACAAATCCTTTAAAACATTTCCAGTATCTCCAAAAGACAACACAACTCCTAAAACTACACCTTTTACTTTAGACTATATAATCTTCCAACCAAACCAACAATATATAGCAACCTTCAACAAAACCATACTACTCTATACACTTAATGAACTTGCAATTAAAGCAGATCAAAAGTTTGCTGAAATTAACAATTCAGAAACCAATTCCAAATGAACTGCTTTCTACCTTTATTCTTATCTTAAAGCTTATCTAAATACTGCAGCTAAAAATGACAGTATTTCAGAATTGGAATTAAACAAAGCTTTAGAAAAAATTATTACACTTACTATTAACTCACATATTTTAGCATGTATAATTCTCTATTTTTATATTTAAAGTCAACTAAAATTCTCTATCTCTTAAATCCAACTCGACTATAATCTAAAGTATCTTCTAGAAGCAGAAAAATTTATCATTAAACACTATGATATTAAAATCCCTTCAATACAGGACAATACTCTTTTCATGTCTTCAGCTACTATTTATAGTTCACTTTTTCAATAAATCCTTCTATAGATAACATAAATACAGCTGCCACTTCCAAAATAATGATGTCCTTCACTAAAAGTGTGCCATTTTTGGAAGAGAATGATGTAAGTAGGTGGGCAGGAAAGCCTATTTATGCGAAGGACCTAGCTAATAACAGTCAGACCCAAAGTACAGGGCAGGCTATGGTATCCTCTGCAATTGTGAAAACTGAGTATATGGTGAGCGCATCTATAGAAGGAAAATTTAACTTCTCAGATAACAATCCATCACATCCTTCTGAGAACCTCTTTTTATTAAACTCACATCTAACTTCTCCAAAAAACTTCCATATACCAAATATCTTTATTAATATACTAACAAAATTAAGCACTATAATCGACGACGATGAATCATTAACAGAAGACTATAGTGATACTATAGACTCACCAACAACCAATACTATTAAAGGGAAAACTTATATCAAAACCTCTAATTTACTCAAACTATACAATCCTTTTACTTGTTTTAATAAATTTCTCGCATTTTACAACTTACAACTCCTATCCTTACCATAATCAATTGGCTCCTTTTTAAAATTTATCCAAAATAAACATCCAGAATACTACTCAGAACAATTCATAAAAATTTCTATCAAAACATCTAACAATAACTCATATGAAGCTCACATCTACCTTCCTCAAGAAAGCAACTCTTTATCCAATTTTACACTTATCCCTTTCAAAAATCTTTTAAACTATCAAAATATTGCACTCAAAACTAACCTTTCTTCAGCAAAATTTAACATACTATCATTTTCAGAATATCAAAATCTTCTCTCAACTATTACATTCTCAAATTCTGAACTATCTACTCTTACAACATATACAAATAACAATACTTCATCTTTAAATAACTCCAATATGATAAAATCAATTAAAATACATTCACTTAATGTTAATAGCCTCCTAGATACATTCAAACAATTAAGTTTAATTGACTATATTACAGAAAACCAAATAGATATTTTTGGAATTTCTGAAACTCATTTATCTAACAAAGAGGCATAATTCTCAACCTTCTCACAAAAACTCACAAATCATAAATGTTTCTGAACACCTAGCAATGCTCGTCAGGGTGGTGTAGGAATATTAATTCACAAATCACTTGCAAAACATATCAGAAAAATTCAAACTTATAAAAACTTTCTTTTAGAAATTGATATCTTCCTTAAAAATCTTCATATTAAACTAATCCAACTTTACTTTTCAACTCAAGAAAAGAAACAACTTAGAAAAGAAATTCTTCTATATCTTACTCTCATTCTCAACAAAACTAACTACAAAATAATTCTAATAAGAGACTTAAATGGAGTTCCTAATCCCAAATTAGACAGACTACCACAAAAAAACTCAAACACACCTGAACACTCACTCCTAAAACTTCTCAAATCTCTTCAATTTTATAACACCTATAGACTTTTTTTCCTATTAACTTCTACATTCTCTTATATACACAATAACAGCCATAGTAGAATTGATCAAATATGGACAAATGTTCATATTACATTCTTAGACTATGCTGACATCCTACCTAACCTGTTTACCTTAACTAATCACTCAATAACATCATTAGAACTTACATTTGACATACCCAAAATTAATACACAATTTCATCAAACAAGAACTATCTATCAATGGAAACTTATCAAAAAAGAACAAACTGAAAACTACCAAAA